AACTTAATTATCACGAGTACAAGAGTATAGTGTCGAGAGGACCAAATCATTTATATTAATCCCAAGAACAAGGGATTTCATCCCACCCAAAAATATAAATAAATGATGCTTAACAATTTTAATTGATACAGTTATTGATATAGATTAACATTAGTTATTTGTAAATGACCATGTACTGTACATCATTATTTCCAGGTAGCCTAATAATTTCATAAAAGAAACTGCGATCACCAATTTCATCACGTTGTTCAAGATTCAGCTACTGGGAACAAAAAGTTCCAAGTAGCACGGGCTATGGTGAGCCCGTAGTGGACTTAACTGGCACAGGAGCGGGGCTGTGGCAAATTTCACGAAGCTACAGCCAATTTATCACTTTGCTAGTTTAAGCCTCCCTCCGGCTAATTAAAAACTCGCCTCCGAAAATTTAAAACCTTCCGTCTAAACCCATCCCTTCAATTCTTTCCCTTCGCCTCAACCCATCCCTTCAATTCTTTCCCTTCGCCTCAACCCTCCCTTCCTCTCTTGCCCTTCCTTGAACTCGTGACAGATCAAAGAGAAGCCATCCCATGTACACGCCAGCGTATGTGTGTATATCTGACTCACAGAGGCCACACATGGCTCTCCTCGCCAGAAATACACATGAGTCAAATGCACATTTACACACACACACGTATATACAAGTACTAACACCTCGCACCAACGTACACACACGCACGCACATACATACATGAGAATAACAAATCTATGCTAGTAAATTTTTTTATCTTTTCTCAATATCCATCCTTAACACGTTCCAAAAACACCACCATTCTGACATTTTGTAGACATAAATCACACACACACACACACACGTGTGTGTGTGTGTGTGTTATAATATATAATACGAACGGGATTAAATTTAATTTGTGGGTCTTAAGAGTATAGGACCTAGGCTCCACGGACGCGGGTCTTGTCAAATACTTTTAATTTTATTTCATTTAACTTTATAGATACAAGAGTTTTTACATTCTTGTAAAGCCACCAGCACGAATAGCGTTTCGGGCAGGTCCTTAATCTTAATTTTACCCGGAATACGACCCGCCAAACGTTTAACAACCAGGTACCCCATTCACTGCTGGGTGAACAGAGGTGTACAGTTAAGGATTGGCGCCTAGTCAATCCTCCCCGGCCAGGATACGAACCCGGGCCAAATGTATTGGGAAGCGCGGGGCGAATGTGTTACCACTGCACCACGGGGACTGACAGACACTCGTGATATAACAAGACAGAGATATGAGCTACGAGGAAAGGCTAAGGGAGCTAAACCTCACGTCCCTGGAAGACGAGCGTTTAAAGAAGACATGATCACCACTTACAAAATTCTCAGAGGAATTAATAAGGACAAACTATTTAGCATGGATGAGACACGAACAAGGGGACAGATGTGTCGAGAAAAAAAGTAATTATAATTAGTTAGTAATAGTAAAATGTTCAGGCGGCGAAGCTTGCAAGGGATCCCAACCTTAACCAACACAAAGCAGCAGGATCTGAACCTAGTTAAAACTCCACCCAACTAATTTTACTGTCCCCAATCACTCGTCAAGCTTCCTTTAAAGCGAGACTTCGAGCAGATATACTCCGCTCTTATATTAACAATCCCTCCCATCCTCCCCCCGGCCAGCAGGAGACGGCGTCCACAAACCTAAGGTGTGAATGAATCACTTGTGCGGACTGTGAATCACACTCCGAGTATACTGCGCCCTCCCTGGCACAACCCTTACCTGGCCTGAGAGAGAGAGTGCTCACTGTTTGTTACTGTCAGTCATCAGTGTATCTTATCTTGGACGCCTCTGATGTGCGCGTGCATCACTAATATCATGTTTGTTGACATCTTGGCCAGTAATTTGTTGCTACTGAATCACACACAACAAAAAACAGTATTTAGATTTCGCTGCGTGGTCCAGTGGCGCACTGAGCTTGGTGCAATAATGCAGTTGCCTTCCTCAACGTGGATTTGCTTGTATGTCCTTGACGCATGCACCTGTTGTTGCCTCGAGTTGAGAGTCTGGTGCTGTGACAGGGCAGAGAGAGAGAGAGAGAGAGAAAGAGAGTGAGAAAGGAAGAAAGAGAGAGAGTAAGAAAGAAACAAAAAGAAAGAATGAGAAAGATAGAAAAAGAAAGAATGAGAAAGATAGAAAAGGAGAAAGAAAGAATGAGAAAGATAGAAAAGGAGAAAGAAAAAGAGAAAGAAAAAGAGAAAAGGCGAGAGCGAGAGAGAGAGATATTGAACACGAGAGCCACACGAGGAGCCTCACGTGGCACCACCACACTATCCACCTGTCTTATCCCCGTTCCCCACCAGCCTCTGCAAGACGCCTTCTATCCTACCCCGAAGCCCAAGCTTCCTTCCCCTTCCCACAATAGCCTTAAGTGTAATGATATACAGAATAAACAGCGGGACCTCGCGGGATGAGGCAAGAAAACCAGCGAGGGCTGGAGAAGAAGGCAGGGTGGTGAGGAGGAGGCTGCTGCTGCTGCCAGCGGAAGTGGGAGGAACTAGGATAAGATTACGTAGTGGTGGGCCAGCGGTCTGGTCTGCTAACGGCCCTCTCTTACCTCCCCCCACCCGCTCCCTACTCCTGTCCCTGCATCTCTCGGGGGACTCTTTCAAACTATTTATATCCAAACCATGGGCCCTGCCTTGGCCCAAGTCCAGTGTACGCTTCATTCAAGCACTTTGTGAATGACAAAGTATCACTAAGTACCCACGTCAGTACACGAATTTTTGGTTTAAGTAACCCGCCTTGAGAGAAAACGAGGAGTGGTACCCTCCGCTGGCACTGTGACGTCACGAGGGCGTCACACTAGACGCGCACTCCTCGTTGCCAAGTGCCAGTCACGGTAATTGGCTAGTTGTTTCTTCTGCCCCGTGACACTGACTTCCTCTCCGTCTTGCGGTTCCTTCTCCCGCCAGAGACAGAGGGCGCCCCTGGCCACAAGGCCGGACCGGCGGCACTAACCACGATGGCCAGGGCAGGTGGCACTGCTTAAGCAGGCAACACTCCTAATAAGAAGCATTAATTCCAGGAAGCGGTCAAGGGTGCGGCAGGCAGGCAAAGTGGCTTGTTTTGGGGTTACTACCGCTCCTCCTACCATCCCAACAGTACTCCATGACTGCTTTATCTCCTGCTACCGCAGCTGAAGGAATTTATACAAAATTTGATCAAATTTGTACTTTAGGATAATGCCACCAGCTCTTGGGTACTTATATCTCCTAGAATTGAGCAGCTCGTGGTCAAAGAAGCACCCTCGAGACACTAAATATTGTGGGATTCAAACACAGCTGTTTTGCGAGTCGCTAGGCTTCGACTCCACGAGGCCTAGTGCTTCAGGCGACGGTACCTGGGAGGCGGCGTGGTGGAGCGGTTCCTCCCCGAGGGACCTCCCAGGCTTGTTTATAAGCAAGCCTGACGAGCAGCGGAAGCTAGTGTGTTCTGCTGGTCGGCCACCGTTTGATCTTGCTTAGTGAGGTGCAAACTGGTCCGCCATTATGTGCGGTTGGTTAGTTAGCTTCCGCTACGGCTCTTTCCGGTTACTGCGACTCTCAAGTTCGATATTTGTAAATACGATCAAAGGCTTGGCGAAAGTGTTTCATCATAGTTCATAAACTTTGGCGTCAAACTAAATATATACAAATAACATTTGATCTCGTCCGAATATCTCGCTCCAATGTTCGTTATTAACCCGCAAACCTTTCTCTAACATTCCTGTGCAGCGTGATAATACAGACACAGCCATAAGTAACAATACCACCAGCTGCCTCATGAAGGCTTTGGCTCCAACCTCAAAATGTATTTATTTATACAAGTTCGGGAACTTGAAACTGAGGCTAAGGTGCGAGCAGCCGCCCACGCGTCTGAAAACAAAAGAATTGACGTTTCGGACCGTCCCGGACCACTCTCCAGTCGTGCCAGGGAAGAGCAACCATGGTATATATGTACACAAGATCTCTATTTAACAAATGACCGAAAAGTTTACATAAAATCATTAAGCAAGGCTTGTTGCAAGTGATGGTTGCGAGT